GTTTAATACTACATATCTCACATTGGAGAAATTAACCTCTGCATCTAACCCATCCCCTTGAGGAGCAGTGGGCTGCCATTGTAAAGAAAAGGATAAGATCTAATAACATTCTTAAGACATATAAAGCTTTAAATGCTGTTTATCAAGTCTGTGTTATACATCTAGTCATCACGGCTCTGTACAAAATCACATTCAAAGCTTTTTATTCCCTGAACTTTCTTGTTTAAAGATAGAGGCAGTTTTCAACTCTCCGTGTCTGTTCTGTAGAACCACTTCGCAGTCAGCATCAAAAGCAGTGGCGCCACCAGAGGTTGGCCACCCCACTCGCCAGTGTAAACTGTAGTAGTATCAGTTCAGCATTTCATCCCATTATGCACAGCCATCGACATAACATTACAAATCTCACAATTAACCAAGACATGAGTAGTTGTTTACTCAAGTCAGGCGGGTTTACCACAATAGTAGATTGAAACCCTGAAATTTTGGCTTTTAGTGTGAGTGTGCCACCCCAAGATTTTTGGTGGCCCCATCTGGCCCCCCATGAAACACTGATCAGAAGTGATGACCTGTTTAGAAAACCAATACTGAAATGTATTCCTTCAAAACACCATTTATTGACTGATTATTGTGTGGTTGCATTTTTTTCATTAATATTTTACACATTTCATTTTTTCCTAATTTTTTTAATGTATCGGTTTTCAAGTTGTTTGGTGTCTTGTCCCTTAAAAAACAAATAAAGCTGAGTTTAGTTTAAAGATCATTCCTAATACATTTTCAAATATCTTGCATGTCAACATATTTCCTTTATCTATTGTTTAATGAGATTCACATTCAGGAATAAAAGTTACATTTAATATCAGAAGTAAGACAGACAATTATTAGGAAAACATTAAACTTTTCTTGTTTTTCTGAAACTGGTTTGGGTTCTTTGGATACATTTTGGATAAAATAGCAACATTTTGATTCATGAAATGGTTATAACTTGGTATCTTTCTTTTACTTAGATAGGAATGATCTAAATAAAAATGTTCAACACTCAGTACAGGGAGAAAAAAATCTGTTTTAAAATCTGAAAAATTCTTAAGGATGCTGACTGCACAAGATCAGATCATGGCGACAAAAAATAATGTAAACATTTTTCACTTAGAACATTTGCTATAAAAATATAGATTCCCTAAGACACAAACCCACAAAAATAAATAAAAAAATATAAATTTTAAAAAATATATTAATGTGGTTTTGTATTTGAAACAAAATTGTCACGATTATACAAACAATATTCTTTAGATAAATATGTGATTGTTAAATTGAATTTCATTAGACATTATTTTTACAAATGAAAATATGTCATACAGGTGCTGGTCATAAAATTAGAATATCATGAAAAAGTAGATTGATTTCAGAAATTCCATTTAAAAAGTGAAACTTGTATATTATATTCATACATTACATACAAACTCATATATTTCAGATGTTTATTTTGTTTAATTTTGATGATTACAAATGACAACAAATGAAAATCTCAAATTCATCATATCAGAAAATTAGAATATTGTGAAAAGGTTCAAAATTGATGGCCCCTGGTGCCACACTCTAATCAGCTAATTAACTCAACCCACCTGCAAAAGCCTTTAAATGGTCTTTCAGTCTAGTTCTATAGGCTACACAATCATGGGGAAGACTGCTGACTTGACAGTTGTCCAAAAGACGACCATCGACACCTTGCACAAGGAGGGCAAGACACAAAAGGTCATCGCTAAAGAGGCTGGCTGTTCACAGAGCTCAGTGTCCAAGCACATTAATAGAGAGGCGAAGGGAAGGAAAAGATGTGGTCGAAAAAAGTGTACAAGCAAGAGAGATAACCGCACCCTGGAGAGGATTGTGAAACAAAACCCATTCAAAAATGTGGGGGAGATTCACAAAGAGTGGACTGCAGCTGGAGTGAGTGCTTCAAGAACCACCACACACAGACGTATGAAAGACATGGGTTTCTGCTGTCGCATTCCTTGTGTCAAGCCACTCTTGAACCACAGACAGCGTCAGAAGCGTCTTGCCTGGGCTAAAGAGAAACAGGACTGGACTGCTGGTGAGTGGTCCAAAGTCATGTTCTCTGATGAAAGTAAATTTTGCATTTCCTTTGGAAATCAAGGTCCCAGAGTCTGGAGGAAAAGAAGAGAGGCACTTCATCCACGTTGCTTGAAGTCCAGTGTAAAGTTTCCACAGTCAGTGATGGTTTGGGGTGCCATGTCATCTGCTGGTGTTGGTCCATTGTGTTTTCTGAGGTCCAGGGTCAACGCAGCCACATACCAGGAAGTTTTAGAGCACTTCATGCTTCCTGCAGCTGACCAACTTTTTGGAGATGCAGATTTCATTTTCCAACAGGACTTGCCACCTGCACACAGTGCCAAAGCTACCAGTACCTGGTTGAAGGACCATGGTATCCCTGTTCTTAATTGGCCAGCAAACTCTCCTGACCTTAACCCCATAGAAAATCTATGGGGTATTGTGAAGAAGAAGATGCAATACACCAGACCCAACAATTCAGAAGAGCTAAAAGCCACTATTAGAGCAACCTGGGCTATCATAACACCTGAGCAGTGCCACAGACTGATCGACTCCATGCCACGCCGCATTGCTGCAGTAATACAGGCCAAAGGAGGCCCAACTAAATACTGAGTGCTGTACATGCTCATACTTTTCATGTTCATACTTTTCAGTTGGCCAACATTTCTATAAATCCTTTGTTTTTATTGGTCTTCAGTAATATTCTAATTTTCTGATATGATGAATTTGAGATTTTCATTTGTTGTCATTTGTAATCATCAAAATTAAACAAAATAAACATCTGAAATATATGAGTTTGTATGTAATGTATGAATATAATATACAAGTTTCACTTTTTAAATGGAATTACTGAAATCAATCTACTTTTTCATGATATTCTAATTTTATGACCAGCACCTGTATATTGACATGAATCAATAGTATGTTTAAATCAAAGAATTCTTTAAATATCAGTCTCACTATTTGCAGTTAGACAGTCCATCAGTTTGTTATTAAAACTGAGGATTTTTTAATGACGCTTATTATTTCATTGGTTAACTTGCCCTGCAGTTCAACTGCGATTAAAATAACCTCTGGTTTATTATAATGTTAGCCCCGCTCAATTACTCTAATGAATAGTTTCACAGTCACAGGGTTAATAAATGTACCTTATCTAAGTGATTTTAATTATAAAAATATATTTCCATGAACATTTTAAATGAAAATGAATCCAATAAAAAACATTTTGAAATAATAAAAGTCCAAAATATCACATGATTTTAAAAATATTTAATTAAATTAAAACTAATAGTATTTGCATTTGATTAGTCAGCTGCTGACACATTTAAGATACCTTTAATTGTATTCATGCAGTGTTTTTTCATAGGGGCACAGAGGAACAAAAGCAAAACAAACGAATGGCTAGAGAACATTGTTTAGTAAATTAAGCGAACCACAAAGCCAATGTTGCAGACTCTTGATCTCACAGATTAAAACTGGGATCCTATCTTAGTAAGGCTAAAAACGAAAGCTCTATAGTCTCTATTACATAGTTACTATAGTCACTCTATTAAAGATGGAGTAATGTAACTAAAGTAATTTCGCTCTGGGTTTATTAAAGTATTTCTGATTCTGATTCCTGATTGATGGGACAGGTGTTGTGAATGAAACGGTGCCCAGCTTGAAAGAGCTCCGGTGTGTCGCTGAATGTGAGCATTGATGACTGAAAGACATCTTCTGCTTCCATTTATCTGTTTACTGCAGTGTGTTGAATTCCTATTAATGTGGATTTAAAGACATTAGTGGGAAAAAAACTGCAAGGGGGGAAAAAAAATAAAAATTCTAATCAACCAAAACTTCTGTGAACCCCATGCAGGACCTCCGTGGACCCCCTAGGGGTCACGGACCCCTGTTGAAGACCTACGATTTATACTTTTGTCTGTCAGTGCATATCAACATAAGAAGCTGATCTAGCATGACACAGCAAAAAAAGGACCTACAAAGGTCAAAATTTATCAAAATAAGTGCATTTGTTCTAAATATGAGGAGGCAAATAAAATGATCTGCCAAAAGAATTTGCATTTTTTTCCCTCTATAAATAACATAATTAGATTTTAAACACTTAAAATAAGATGTTTTTTCTTATTTTGAATACAAACAATCCATCCGCAAACTGTCTTTCCTCTTTAAATCAAGGGAAATAAACTTAAAAAAATAACAATTTATCAAAATAAGTGCATTTGTTTTACACTTGAGGAGGCAAATAAAATGATCTGCCAAAAGAATGAGTTTTTTTTTCTTTACAAATAAAATAATTAGATTCTAAACACTTAAAATAAGATGCTTTTTCTTATTTTTAATACAAACAATCCATCCGCTAACTGTCTTTCCTTTTTAAATCAAGGAAAATAAACTTAAAAAAAAAAAAATGACTTGTTGTTCAATGTTTGCAATATAGTGGCCAGGAGCAGTTTTACAGGGGCCCCTGTTGGCCCCTGTCTAGAACAAAGCTCACCCTTTTATATATTTCTTACATTTATTGTCGATTTTTTATTATATTTAAATGTTTTGCTACACTTTTTAGTAATTTCTTTAGATTTAAATAAGACTGTAACAGATCAATGAGTGACATTTCCATTTTAGGAGATGGGCTGGTTTCATCCTGACCCCTCTACCAAAGTGTATCCACTGGCTGGAGACGTGGCAGCGCCTCGGGTCATATGATTTTTGGCTTACACGAACCCCACCCCAATCCCTTTCCCCTCTCTCTAAAAAAAAAAAAAAAAAAGCTTTCCAAATGCTCTTTCTAATCAATGCACAAACATATGCTCAAACAAACAAAGTCGTGCAAAAATACCAATCATCTGCACATATTCTACACGTGGATGTTTTATTTTTTTATTGTTGGGAGCTGTGACCACCCAAAAACAGAGCCATTTTTAGCCATTTACTGCTGACGTTTACAGAAGCTCCAAATAGCTTCCGTTTGCCTCCGCCGGTGATTGGACCGTCCTGCGCCGCCGTGCACTGAGCTAACGCGCTGGCTGTGGAGCACGAGCCCCGACATTCTTCACTTCAATGGAGGAACACCCCAAAGATCGGGCACAAGACAGGCAGCAGCACCACAACGGAGAAGACAGGGGCTCCCTCCTGCGCACGGCTTGTCTGAAACATGATCGGAGCCAGTTCCAGTGCCAGCATCAGGAAACGCAGGCGAAGAAAACAGGTCGGGCCATCCGGAAAAAGTTGGCTAATGTCCGCGAGCTGGCTAGCATTTGCTAACTAACACGATGAAGGCTGTTAGCTTAGCGGTGTTAAAACTAAATACAAGTAAAGCTGCTTAGTAAACTAACGGTCAGCTCGGTTTATTGAAAAGCCCCGGGGTTGTGTTAGCAGGCAGGCTAGCTGACGTCGCGTGACAGTTGTCGCTTCTCCTGGTGGTTTTGACACATCGGGGATTGACCTTGTGTTCGCCGGGTTCTTTCTTTTTCACCTAATGTAACCAAACAAATTTGAAAACTGCTAGCCAGTTTCCTCTGTGTGGATACAAAAGCGTCATTCCCCTTCCCCCTGAAACAGCCGGAGTTGGTGTGTTTGATTCCAGCATGTCTGCGTCCAGCTCAGGAAACAACACCGGCTTCCACTGGAATTTTCTCTGCTGCCATTTCCTGTCGGCCATGTTAGAATCTCAGTGCGAGTTTACGCCAGAATGCCTGATAATCTGGAATATATTTGTGAGGTATTCTCTCGTTTTAACCTCTATTTTCCTTCTTTTTTTGAGCTACAGCTCGGTAGGAATGACATGGCAACCGACCATTGCGTGGGTCCCGGTGGGTCAGGGTTAGCTAAAGTTAGCCGTTAGTGGGGCCCTTTGCGTGTCTGCTCAGCATACAGCCACGCAGATAGCAGCAAAGATACCCGAGCTGTCAGATAGCTTCAGTCTAAATGTTTACTGAAAAGCAGACATTAGTGTCTATGTTTTTAGGTAAGGCTATATACGGACTGCTGTGTGTGCAACAGAAACATGAGGGTGAAGAAACGCCATGGAGTGGGAACTCCTATGTTGACACAGCAGTTCTCTTAAACATTTTAGGCCCGACATGCTTTACTCTGGATCTATGTGTATTTTAAATACTTATAATCTTGGATCTTATAGTAATCTTTGAAGCTACATAATAGGTTCATAAATATATCTATGATCTTTTAAATGAGGATCTTTTCTTTTGAAATGACTACAAATAAAACAAAATGATCCATTTCAAAACTGTTTTTAATATAGTTGCAATTGCTGAATGTGGAGCTTTTACATAATATGTTAAATCAAAGATTTATATAGATTTATATTTCTTATACCAGGAGTCTGCAACCTGTGGCTGTTTGGACCCTCTACAGAGGCTCATAATAGTGGTTAAAAAGGATTTAATTAACCAACTAATGTCTTAGATCAGGGGTCTTCAATGTTTTCCAGGCCAAGGACCCCCAAACTGATGGCTAGATGGAGCAGGGACCCCCTAATTATATATATTGTATGAAACTGTGTTATATCAAACTGGTCTTATAGTCACTCTAATGTAACAAAAGTAATTTCACCCTGACATTATTCAAGTATTTCTAATTCCTCGTTGATGGGACAGGTGTTTTAAATGAAACGGTGCCCAGCTTGAAAGAGCTCCTGTGTGTTGCTGAATGTCTACATTGTATGACTGAAAGTCATCTTCTGCCTCAGTTTGTTTACTACATTGTGTTGAATTCATGTAAATGAGTATTTAAAGACATTTCAATTAGTGGAAAAAAAATTGGTCCTCCATAGTCCCTCTTGGGGTCGCGGTCCCCCTGTTGAGACCTGTGTCTTAGAAGCTTTGATTTGATGCAATTTTTTACAACAGAATGACATTGAAAGAACCAGAACTATGTTTTAGAGCTGTTTTTCCTTTAATTAGCTATGAAATTATCTTATATAGATTTTTCTTTAAATCAAATAATAGCCTATAGAAAAAAAAACAAATCCATGTGTCATCTTTATGAATCTTCATTAAGTTTTTCTGTATTCTTTAAAGCTATAAATACAAATAAACAGTTGGTTGTTTATGATGGCAACAGGTTTCATATGTCAGAAATTTAACAAAATAATAGGTTGTGTTTTCTTAAAAAGTCATGTAACATTTTGCGGCTCTGAACGAATCAAGGAAAAATGACTCTTTAGATTTTAAATGTGGAAGACCCCTGTGTACTTTCAGTTCCTTTTCACATCGGTAAATAACTACTATGTTACGCTCATAATTAAGTCATTGCATAGCACTAATTATGTTGTTTATTTTTGTATTCAAGTGGCAATGAAATTGTAGGAAATCCTTATTTCTGCCATATAACTCATGAGATATGATTTGTTTTTTTTTTTTTTTTTTTTTTTGTAGCCAACTGCTCAATTTTGCAACACTGCAAGTACAATACAACATGAAGCTGCATGTTATGCAAAGCCATTGTCATTGTGTTAAGGGTTGTAATATGGAAATGGCAAATACCACTTGTGGATGTAGGCTTTAGTAGAGTTTTATACCTACAATAAAATAAATTCTAATTCTGCATGCCGTTTATATTTTGAAGTAGTGCTGCAACTTGCGAATATTTTCTAAATCGATTAATCTACTGATTAATTTTTCGATTAATAATCAGCGAAAGGTTTTAAAAAAAATATTTTTTATGAAATTAAACCAGTTGAAACTAAAACTTTTCTGGATAGAGCATATTGACAGACACCAGTTTATTTTATCTTAAATGCAAAATGTTTATATAAACAGCTAAAGACATGTTTTACAGTTTCTATATTCCATTTAACAATGAATCGATTACTGAATTAGTTGACAATTCTTTCAATAATTGATTAATCAGATTAAATCTTTTTAGCCCTAAATTAAGTAAGTTGGATAGACTTTACTGTCTGCCCAGTGCCTACATTGATGTTTATGTTTTATTATTGGAATAGCATCTGCAATATTATCTATATTCCCTGTCTTCATTATATTGAGCACCTCTTAAATGCTAAGAAGGTACAGAGGAAAGTGATCTGAAACCTTTTTCCATTTAAATTATTTTGATTTTCCTTGCAGGCAATAAAAATGTAAACATCTGTGACGAAGAAGGGGAGAAGAATCCACCACTGCCCTACACGTTTGGTGTGTCCCATCCTTCCAGCAGTAATGGAAATAGACATTTAGGTAATCCAAATGTGAAGCAGAAAGGGATGCAGAAGCACTACACCTCTGTTCCAAAAGCGGGCAGCAAATTGTCAGAACATAAGAAAAATATGGACTTAAAAAATGACAAGGAGAAGGGCTTGGATTTGAGTCAATATGAGATTGAGCCTTCAGATGAGAAAGACTCTGCTTTGCTTCAGAACGGGCTGGTGAACTGTGGCCTCATCACGAATGGCTATTCGATTAAGGACAATGACGGCAGTGGCTCTGAAGGCGGATATACCACCCCGAAGAAGCGAAAGAGCCGATGCAGCAACGCCAAGAGTGCCGATAACACAATAAAAGAAAAAGAGAGAGACGTTCAGCCCCGCAGCACTACGCAGGAGGTGGAAGCTCTGAACGTCGAGGGGCCTGAGAAAGGAACGGCGTCCAGACTTGACGGCTTCAGATCCAGTTTTAAAGTAGAAGCTCAGACAACAGCTAAGCGGGCTGTCATGTCAGAGACTTTGGTTGTTGAATCTCAGAGGAAAAACTCAGACGGTAAAGCAGCTGGCACCTTCGGTAAGAAAGCAGAGGAAAAGCACAAGGGTAAGCTTTCCTCGCCTTCAAAGGAGGACTCGTGGACTTTGTTTAAGCCCCCTCCTGTTTTTCCTGTGGACAATAGCAGTGCTAAAATTGTTCCCAAGATCAGTTATGCAAGCAAAGTAAAAGAGAACCTCAATAAAGTAGCTCAAGGTGGAGGGGAGGCAGCACCTCCTCCTGTGAGACTGTCCCAGGTCCCTATGTCTGCTATGAAAACTATCACCTCAGCTAGCTTTACTAACGGTCCTGTTTCTGGGAATGGGAACGGCTGCCCGTCTATGGGTACCTTCTTTGCTCCTGCTGCTAGTTGTATTCAATCAGCCCCATCGATCCCAGGTGGCGAGAATGTAGCATCCTCTTTGGAGAGTAACAGTAGCTCTACAACGAGTCCAGTAGACAGAGAAGCAAGCGAGCACAGAAAGTGTACTGTTTTAATCTACCCTTTAAATATGCAACCTGTGCTCCCGAGCGCTCGTCACCTCGACCCACCGGCTGCTCAGACAAATCAGAAAGCCCTGGGGGACATCTTCCAGAATCAGTGGGGGCTCTCCTTCATCAACGAGCCCAACCTGGGGCTCGAAGGGGGAAGTGGATTCGTGCCTGCCGAGGACCAGACTTCTGTGACTTCTCAAAGCCAGAGTCAGGCTGTCGCAGCCGAGGTTGCCCAGCCCCTCTTTGACATTAGCCCATCATTTCTAGAAGCTGAAGCTTTTTCTCAAGAAGCAGAGAAAAGGACTTGTGCCCCCTGCCAAGTATCCACTGTTTGTTCTCCTGTTTGTGCGGCGAGCGAGGAGGATAAGCTGCAGCCAAGTGTCCAGGAAAAGACGAAAGTGGAGTTGAAGGGCGTGGGTCCTTCTGTGCTGGCCCCCAGTAAAGACACCGGTGCTAAGCCTGCAGCGGGCCAACAGACCACTGTGTCCTTTGGCTCGTCTAAGGAACTGATCCACCCTAAAGACTTTGGCAGGAGGTCCAGCTGGGGTTCCTTCGACCTGAAAGCTGCTGTCACCTATCACACTAAAGGTAACCTTCCTGCTCTGCTCTTATCAAAGACCGTTTTTATCCCTAAGCGGTAGATCACTTCAGTCTTTATTTGACAATATGTATAAGATCGGGGTTCATGAGAAATCTTTATTGCATGGAGAATGAGAACTTTTGGATTTATGTCATTTTTATGACTAGAACAGTGGTCATTTTTAATAATTTTTATTCTTTTAGACTCTTTTTGCTAAAGATTTCTCAAAGGGCTATTTATAAACAGAGATTTTTGGACTTTCAATAAACAGAAAATGGATCTAATTATATTATAATTAATGTATTTGTCTAAGCCAACTTGACTAAAGCATTAGAAACTTGAGTCCCAGCTAAGCTGATCCCTAAAAGCAGCAGTGACATTTTCTACTTAGTCATGATAGGTGCTTAAATGCTAATTAATAAAAAAAAACATACTTATTCTTTCTGATTTCTGGGTTCATTGAAATTTAAGCTCCCAATAAATACATGTTTATCAAAAACAAAACAGGAAAATGCTCTTTATTGACGCTGTTTATTAATCACTACTTCAGTGAAATTATATAGGAGGCGCAGTCAACATTTCTTTTGAACAGTTATGTTTATATTTATAAGTGAGCCAGTATCACACTGTGTTAATAAAAAAATGAGTCATAGTTGGCTCCACAGTTGAAGGATTTAACCAAAACCTGATAAATGATTAGAGCCATTTAACCTTTTATAGGGCAAGTCAACGTTTATGATCATTTGCATACCCCCATTCCCTCAGTGAGGTCTAGAAGCACAAGATCTATATCCAGCCACTCTGCAAAGATACTGCTACATGGCTGTACATCTTATTTTGGCATTTGACCAATTAGTGAGCCCTTGAATGATATATTACCTACTGTAAATGAAGTTGTTAGTTTGAAAAAAAAAGTTAACTAGTTAAGAAAAAAGGTTAAAAGCTAATTCAAAAGTTGAAAAATAAAGTCAAAAATGTAATAAGCCAAGTGAAAAAAGTACAAAATCTAAGTTCCAGGATCAGCATTAATGCTCTATGGTTATGATGTAACAAAAAAATGGTTTATTTCACTCTGAGTATTTTTCATGAATTTCTTATTGAAGCACTTTTGTTATTTTTCTTAATATATTGTGACCGTTTCTTGTTTTTACTTTAAGTGTAATTTTTGTCATCAAAATATACATATTTTTTGCAATGTTACAAAAATAATAAGGTCTTGTCCTGGATTCCAATAACACCATTGGCTGGAAATTTTGACTGAAGTATTGAAGGAGTATTTGAAGTATTTTAATGATTGACCTATAAAGGGTTAAAGCTCTCTTTGGTTTCTCACAGTAGTTATCTGGAGGATGATTTACCAACAGGGTTCCTTTATGTGGACCTAGAAGGAATTTTTGCTATTTACTTAAAAAAAGAGTATAGTCTCTTTATTGTCTCATGGTGGAGAAATTCAGCTGTCTGTAGCAAAGCGAATGGGAAATTAAGCATAAAGGCACAAAAGACTAAAATAAGGAACAAAAAGCTTAAAATTGATGACGCTGTTTAAATGAAAAATGTGTCAGATAAAAGGAAAAATGGCTGCTTAGTTGCAGATGAGATGGAAGAACTGTAATGGTATGGATGTGAACACTTGCTGCTCGTGCTGGGAGCTGTGGATTATAAAGTCTGGTGCACTGAGGTGCAGCAGTCTTCTACTGAAGAATTGTCCCGGTTTTATAAAGACTTCATGCGAGAGATCCTGTCCAAACCCAAGTTTTTGTTAGAAAGGTGAAAATCCTAAAGATTACCCACCCTTACTAATCCAGTGTGTTCCACGATGGACAGAATTTTTTTTTTTTTTTTTTTAGGGATAAAACAAAGCAGCTCTGCTTTCATTTTCAGCCAACATGCCCTATATAGACAGTAGTTTTCTTTTTAAAGCTTGTTCCTCTTAAAAAATAAATAAAAATACCTTAATGATTGTAATATGGTTACTTCACTCCCACCATTAATTTCCACTCCAGAAAGTGCTGCCAGAATGATCATAACCTGGATGATGTTTATGCTGTATCATATGTAGCACTTTTTAAATCTACTTTACAACCTAATCTCTTTCTTTTTTTTTCCTTAAACAGAAATGGAATTTATTTTCAATTTGCAAAAACAAGGTAAGAAAAGTTTTACATCCGATCTTTACAACAACTGCTTTATTGGACAAGTAGCTGTGTAGCATAACGTTGTGATCTGTTGTTTAAAATGCATTAACAGTCATAGTTGTCAAATTAAATTGTTTTAAAGCTATGCGAACATTTTTTTTACATTTTTGTTTTTTGTTTTTTTATGCTTGTTGTTGCTTGGATGCTGTTGATGATTTTTGTCCTGGGATGGCAGTGAGTGACCGTTTCTCTCTTTCTCTGTCCACTCTTACAGATCCAAAAAGAGTAGTATTTTATGATCAGACCAAGGATGGACCTGATAAGTGAGGTAGATCATCTCCAGTGCTTACTGTCTTCTCCTCTGGGTGCTGCAGTTATCTACCTAGGAAAAAACAACAACATAAAAAACCAACAAATCCCATCGGATAAAGTGACAACTGTGAAAACACTGATAGCTAAGCATGATTTTCCTTGGAAACTCGGGTTTATTCAAACGTTTTGTTCTGTTTTTTAATTTTTTTTTTTTTTTTTGGGAGTGCACCAGAATAACACACACAGACACGCTCGGGATGGATGTTAGGAGTCGATCGGTGCCTCTCCAACACAATGAATGGACCTTAACGACTTCTTGCTGTGGTAGTCCTCGTCTCATGGCTTTTAAGGGATAACGCTGGCGAGCTCAACCAAGGAAGGTGTCTCGGACTGCACCTCCTCAAGCCTTTATCCTGTCGAACTGTGGCAGCCGTCGCTCCGGCTATGGGACGTCTCCGTCATTTTCTTTATCCACTCATTCGAATGAGTTTACTGTAGATACGACGGACGTTAAACACACAGAATCTGTGGCAAAAGGAGACGACCCTTAAAGAGATGCCTTTAAGATAGTAGAGGTGTTTGCAATCCCGTTACGGTGGCAGTGAAAGCTTGAGAGGGAGAAACTTGTCTTAAATCCTCTAGAGAAAACTACTCAGAGCCCTGAAATTGTATATGTATTGCAGTTGCTTTATGCCGTTTCAGCTGACCTAACATAAGTATTATTTGCATTGCTGTAAGACCCCCGAGGTACTCAAGTGCCGAATTTGAAGGAAAGCCACGCCCCTTTAACGTCATTTGTTCAGTAGGTGTGCTAAAGATTTTAATATCGGGTCTCTGGTAATTTTGTTCTGTTGAAGCTCTACATTTCACTCAGACGGTCATAAGATTATCATTTAAATGAAAATAAGAAGCATTGCATCTGGTTGGATGTTCTGTTTGTGCTCTTTGTTCAGCTGCAACACTCAGGATATCTTTACAAACTGTTTCTGTTCATTTGTTAAAGGAACATACTTCATTTTACAGTTGTTTTTTTATTTTTATTTTTTGTTCACCGCCATGTTTACTGGTGTAAATGAATCTCTTTTCATCGCCACATAAAACACAACAGTAACTCGTTTTATCGCCACCTTTCCTAAACGACCAGCTGTGTCAAAACTGTGTTCTAATGTTTTAAAAGGAGGTCTGTGGATAGACGTTTGACTGCTTCGTTAGCCAGTGTGCAATAACACGGTGGAGAATGGGTTATGTTGAGCTGTGAGCTCATCTGAGACGCTTGTGTAGCCTGCAGTTCAGTTTTTCAAAAAAAAAAAGTTATCTAAAATGCAATTTACTCTTTGTTGCACAAACTTCAGATTTGACTTCTTTTCTTTCATGTTAAAATCACTTGTAAGGTCTGATTAAGTGTAGGGATCGTATGAGCCCAAATCTGGTCTGCAGTAACATCTCTAAAGGACATTTTTGTTTCATAAGGGGGAGGGGGAGGGGGGTCCTCTTGTTTAGAAAATCTAATTTGGTTTAATTGTGGATTAATAGCACTTTATGTTAATGAATTACCTTTATCTTAACTAGAGAAAATCTATAGGTGACACTAGAAATACTCCTTAAAAGAATGGCTCTGGGCTGTTACTTTGCAGAGAAAAAAAAATATATCTATATATCTATATATATAGTTGCTAAATACAGAATTATAAAATATAACTCAGGTAGTGTTGATGAAGCCATGAGTATATTCAATGTTGTGGGGTTTTTTTGTTTTGCCAATTGGTCCCTGTCATGCAATGTTTTTCATACTGGAAATGCTGAATTGGAGTCCTACTGCTGTCTTCTCGTACAATGTTCTGGAAAAAACACCAAATACTTTGACACAGGATGTCAGTTATGACTTAGGGCTGATGTTGTGAGATGTTTATCGCCTAAGAAAGCCCATTGCATCTTGCTCTGTTTTCAGCGTTCTTTTCCTCGGCTGTAATCCTGAGCATCTCTGCTGGTTCAGTTCCTCCTCCTGTATTTTTCCGCTTGTCTTTTTACGAGCCGACGGTCCTAAAGTGTGCTCCTCTCCTTTTTCTCCTCAGCAGAAAGAGAAAAGTAGAACTGCAGCAGGTTTATGTTATTCTATACATGTATTCCTTTAGTACTTCCAGACAGTTTTTGTTGTTTTGTTTGGTTTATGTACAGCGACTGGTGTCTGATCTCTTCCAGGCATGGGCCCAGTTATCAGTATCAAGTAGCACCAGGGTCTTGAAAAGTTTCCAAAAGTCCTCATTAGGAAATCCCAGATTGGGCCCCTCCCCTACCTGTTGCTGCATACTGCTGGTCCAGGCTGGAAGATGGCTATTCCACTCTTCCCTTTGCTCGAAAGAACAACATATTTGGCTTTTTAGAAATATTGCCTGTCGTATTAAAACATTTGCTTCCTATTCAACTTTTAAAGGCAGTGCTATGTTAAACAAATAGATTTTACTGTATTGATTTAAAAAATATATATATTTAAACAAAGTTGCTGTAAATCTGTTATTTTAATCAAAATAAAATCTAGCAGCCAGTGCCTCATGGAAGGCAATGGAAGCTGCTGTCTTAGTGAGGACAGATGAGTTGGCTCATGATTAGGAAGCATTTCATTCATTTGCATTATGTTGTAGTTTTTCTGATATTTTGTTTTATAAATCTCTGCTTGCTAGTGTAATTTAGTCTATTTGCACATACATCCACGCTCCAATTGACACAATCAGGTTAGTGCTAAATTGTCTTAACAGGCATGTTTGTAGGCGAGCAGGGTGATTATTTTTTTATTTTTGTGTTTTTACCGTCTTCTTACAATAAATAGCCCTTTTTGCTGTTTTTTAAAGAAAAGGGGTGTTGGTTTGGGGAAGCCAGAGGATTTAGCACAGTGATGAGGCTTTTCTGAATATGCATTTCTCCAGACAGAGCTGTTGTTTATAGCATTGTAGTCTGCTAACCAAAAACAGGTTCTTGATATGGAGTAGATGGGCGTGTTGATATAGAAAATAATGGCGTGAGGTTTATTATGTTTTCATTTCCTCCCCTCAGGATGTGCAATCACCTGAAAGATGCTGAATCAGGCGTCCAGGTTGCGAGCGGCTTGGTGTTTTGTTAGTGGTGCGTTAGCTGCCAGTTCATCCTATTATATGCAATTTATTTTTTATATAAGAAAGACTTCCTTCCCTCCCACCCATGTTGTATGTGTTTCAGGTGCCTGTGTAGGGAGGGGTTGGGGGCAGGCTTTTAGCTAGCATTGCGTACGGGCGTAGATTTTACTCCCTTTACTAAAAAAAAATAATAAAATGTGATCTCTGTTTTTGGGAGGTACAGCTTTGGTACGCCCTAATTTCCCCCCAGAAACTTTGTTTAAAATGTTCAAAATTCCACAAGAAGCAGATGCTGGAGTTGGAAAAATTTAATATTTGCTGCTCGACGCGCCAAATCAACCAATCAGAGAAGCTGATCCGTGCCACGAACAGTAGGGGGAACTGCAGGTATGTGGTGTCTGCGCCCCTCTGACAGCAAAATTATATCTTAAGGCAGGGTCGTAATCTTGATGAATGACTGCAAAGACAATGTTTTAAGGTGGACTTTCTCACTTAAAAATGTATTAAAACTACTCTTTACCAGCTTATCACAGCAGATTTAGCAAAGCCGCTCTCTGCCAATGAACACAGGATCACCACAAGCATCAGATGCATCTGTACTCACTTTACTGGACGCGCTTCAGGAGCGTCTAAGAGGCTCTTGTGGTGCGTCTGACCTTGATGTGCACAAGCATGAAAAATGAAGCAGCAGGTGCTAATTTACTGCTGAGAGCGCGTGCGGTGTGAACGTAGCATTACACTTTCTGATTGTTTGAATTAACCTATGAAACAATATTGTACCTAAAAATTATCCCATGTCTTCCTTATGAACTTTTCACCTTTAGTCCAGCACATATACTTCCCATAATCAGGACAAAATAAGCGCTGTAAAAAAGACAAAAAGTTAGCTGCATTCAACCTGAAAATGCAGGAAATAGCATTTCAGAAAGTCTAAATTTCAAGATTTTTCAGGCCCCCTACAATGAGCAAAACTTAAAGGTGTCCAGCCTATGGAATATTCCTAGCTAAAAGCCTGGTTGGGGAAAAAGAGAAACTTTTTAACAGCATTTCTGCTTCCAGTGTATATCCGTGCCATTTTATTTGTGTGTAAAATTAACCTTTTTGTTACGGTTTCCTTCAAGCCCGATTCTCCTCCTTTCTCCAACATGGACAGAGCGAAAAGCAATGAGCATTTATTCTTGATTTAATTACATTTTTTTTAATGGCTCCGTTCAGATTCTTTGCAACCTAATGCCAAATCAGTGAGATTGGTGACTGATTATCATCTGCTAGTGTGAACCAGATTTTAATCAAATTTATTGTCTAAAGTAGCAAGTGATTAATCTGGACTCGTTTAACACGCTAATATATTACCATGTCTTGAAGATGTTTTCTTTTTTTTTTTGTTGTTGTTGTAACTTGACTTATCTATAGGTGCAAAGTTAGGATACGACTAAAACAAGTAAATCAAACTGAATCGAATCGTCATAAGAACTCCCCTTTGTTGCCCCTTTAGTGGCATCATTCAGAAACTAGGGAGCAGATTTTATACTTGTTGGTTTTATTGGGTTTTCTAGACAGATTACGATGGGGTGCGTTAAAATTCACCACATTTTGAGTTCCTCTGACCTATTCTTGATTTTTAGATGATGTTTATCCCGATTCTGAGAGGCTAACATGCAGTTCTGGATCTCTGGATCTGCTTTTGTCAAAGGTACACTACTCAGATATTCAGCATGAAGAGGAGGGGGCGTGTCTGGGATGATGTCAGAGCCAGCGTCCTGACGTCCTGCTGAGTTCAGACATTTATTTTATTCATGTGAACAAAAATCACTTGTGTAGCAGCTGAATGTCACTTTGAGCACATTGTTATATCTTGTGTGAGCGAGAACTCTTAAAGGGGAAAACAACTACCGAAAGTGCTGCTTGTTTTTGTTTTATTTTCTCCCATTTTGGTCATGAGAAAGACTGAACTTTGTGTTTGTTCTCTGCTTAACACTGTCTCTCTTTTACGATGTCATTCTCTCATACATGTCTTTTTTTTTATTGAGCTCTATATTCAAAAACAAGTGAGCAGTGTTGCTACTTTAAAAGGATTCAGTCACAAGAGATGACAAAGACTGGCCGTTAATTTAATTTCTGTCTGCCCTCTGCTCACTTTTTCATCGTCGTGCCCATGAAGGCATCAGCATTTCTTCCTCCAATGTCTTACAAGTTGGCATTTTAAGTTTTGAAATGAACAGTCTGATTATTTAATTTCTACTGTTTTAAATTTAACAAGTGTCACATTGTTTTTTTTTGTTTGTTTTTTTTGTTTTTTAAGCATGATAACCCTCAAATTCCGAACAATGTAATATTCAATAAATAAAAAAAATCCTGTGTTCACTGTTTTAGTTTCCATTAAAATGTCAAATTTTGATGATTTGGATGTTCTGTCATTTCTGTACTGCAGCTCTTGCATTATACCAGACAAACGCAGATGTGATTATAGAACCACCCATACATTATTTTCATTAGAATAGTTTAATCGCCACAAAAGAAGATTTTTTTTTTTTTTAACCTTAACAGAACTTCCTATTTGAAATTTGAGTTTCTGGTTTAAAGAATATAATCTTAGATTGCATCCAAACACAAGCATGGCCTGATATTTCATTTTTCATCTTAGTTATGAATCTATAGTGATGATCCACTTCACACTCAACAGTTCACTTGTGTCCTTACAACTGTAGTTCAAGGATGCAATTTACAGGAGAGCTATGCCTTTTATTGCAACCCTTAATAGGATCATGATTTTAATTGTTTTACAAATAAAGGGCAGGATTTATCAAGATCCAATTTTGCGTGCAGTAATTTGCGCTCGCAAACTGGAATTTTGCGCGAGAGGCTGAACCATGGTTTGGGGGTGATTTAACAAGAGCGATTGCGTAACTGGTGGCAGGTGCAAAACTGTTGGAGATGCCCTATTTAAATGATGGTTTTGCGCGTTTTGTGGTTTGCGGCAAAGTAGTTTGTAGTTTGTGCAATCTAGAGCATTAAGAAATTTTTATCTTACAGTGACACCCCAAACCTCTCCAACAAAAAAAAAAAAAATATATATATATATATAAATAAATAACTTTGGCAACCTTTATTCCCTAAGGTGGTATGTGGCTGAATTTCTACTTCACTGCAGTAAAAAAAAAAAAAAAAAAAAAAAAAGAAAACAGGTGTTTTGTATTGGCCTG